GAAGTCTGCTGTGGAAATGCCACAGGTGGAGGATTCTGAACTTGCTGAATAGTTGGCATGGGCGCTGCTTGTGGAACAGTCATCTGTGCCACTGGAGCGATCACAGGTGCAGGTGGAATATAAGTCTGTGCCATTGGAAGGGACTGTACCTGCTGTTGAGGTGGAGGGAACGGCCCTGCATGTTACTGAGAGGAACTACCTTCAGCAAATGTGGCTGGCCTACCAGCTTGGAAGGTCCACTGTTGAGACCCATCAGAATTGTTTGGCCGATGGGCCAAACTTTGGTTTGAGCTTCCAAGGGTCTCTTCCAACATAGACTCAAACCTTTTAGAGATTCGGTCTACCATTTCTTCTAACTTCCGCTCGTTAGCAAGAGCGGCTTTTGCATGGTCTTGACTAGCTTTAGATTGGTCTTGCGCTACTCTGGCTAAGTCTTGGGCAACTCTAGCTTGGTCTTGCGCAAACCTATCATACTGCATTGCCATCTTGCGGATGTTGTCCATGATGGGTCCATTTGCCGTTGTTTGAACAAATTTTTCCACCATATCAATTTCATCAGGTGCAAATCGTGAACTTTTGACTGGAAGTTCACTGGCTTGCATCTCTTCTAGTTCGGCAAGGTCTTGGACAGACTTGCCTTGCCTTCTTCCACCGGCCATTGAATAATCTATTGAGATGTTGTAATACCCCTAATTTAAAAAGGATAGTCTCGGTATTTTTTTAATAGTTTTAATTGCATTTAATTATTTAGTTGTTTTCTTGGCTAATTGTTTACTTGTTTAATTGATTTAATTATTTGTTTAAATTGAATTGTATGTGATGATGTGTATTTATTTAGGAATTTAATTGTTTTATTTTTATTTTTATTTTTATTTTATTTATTTTATCTTTATAATTTTATTTTATTTTATTTTTATTTTGTTTTAGTTTGTCTTGGAATGGGAAAAGGATTAGGGTTATTTTAGTTGCCTATAAATATATAACTATAGAGTTGTGAAAGAGGTTAGAAAATATATCACGTACTATATTTTAGAGAGAGAAAGAAAGAAGAGGAAGGAAGAGAAAAAGGAAGAAGGAGGCTAGGGTTTTTATCAAATCCCTAAAGGCAAGTTTTAATTCTTCTCTTCTCCTTTGATTCGTACCCTATGCATGCTAGATTAATTCTAGGTTCTTAAATAAATTAATTTAATCAAAATTCATGGATTAATTTGAAATTTTAAATTCATGTTTTAATAGTGAAATTTAATTCTTTTCTTCCGCCGAACTTAGCACTGTTGGTGTCTATGATTTTAATTTAATTTATCTATTTTATTTTTTCATGTGAATTAATTGGAGATTGCAACAGTTTGTACTTTAAGTATAGAAAATCAAAAGTTGGTTTTATTTATAAGGGATGCACGCCGAACGAGGTGAAGAATCAATTTATGGATATAAACATAAAGTTAGACATTGCTAGGTCACAAACTGATTCTATGCATAAAGGGGTGCACGTGATGAAATTGGAAAGTTGGAATTCCATGTCTTTCACAAGGCAAACACGCCGAACGAGGCAACATGTAATACTGTTATGGTAGGAATAAATCAATTTGGTATAAATAAAAAAAAAAGAGATAAGTATGCATTAAATATTTTAAGGTTAATTTGTTTAGGGTTGGAATACTAAATTAATATTTATTATTTTTGAATTGATAGATCTATATTAAATATTTAATTGATTTAAATAAATTCATTAAAAATTGGAAAGCATGATTTAAGTTTACATGCTAAGTATGGAATATAATTAATTTTAAAAGGGATAAATTAATTAAATATAGTTGGACTAAATTATTTTAATCAATTGTTTAGATTTAAAATTAATTTAATCGGAACATGGAGATGTACAATTTAATTGAGATGCATGTTAATTTCTTATGATGTAAATTAAATGCATGCTACTTAAAATTAATATTTTTGTTTAAGTAAATGCAATGGATGTGTATATGATTTATATCATGTTTATTTGGATTATTACATGTAAATATTATTTACATTATTCTTGGATTGGAAACTTTTATTTGATTATGATATGGATTAATGCACCATTACGGGATGGGGGCATGTTAGGGACGGATTAACTTAAAAGTTAAGTCCTACCTATTTTTAATAAAGGAACGGATTAACCATAGTGTTAAGTCGTACTTATTCGTGTCAGGTCAACGGAATAGTTGGATGACATATTATTAAAATAATAATTGGATTGTTTATTTTTGATGGTTGGATATGACGGATTTTAAATATACAATTATACACCATGATATGAGCTTGAGTCTCAGGATCAGTGGTTAGGGTGCGTATATTGCCAGGGATGTGTAGCTAGATATAGCGTAGTTGTGTACCCTAGTAGGTCTAGGTACTCATGCCCATTATATGTGCGTTTTGCATGTTGCCTACTATTCAGGTTGAGACAACTCTATAGTCTAGTGAGGTTCCTTTAGCGTGTATATATCTACATATGGACTATTTAGTTATTGTTGAATTAATTAGGATGTGTACGTGTATCGGGTCTCTGTTTGGGATATAGTAGATTAGAACTTGTTTGTGGGTCTGACCCACCATTATTTTTCAGGTGTTCGTCAGTTCCAGTCTTAGAGATTGTTCGTGCCGAGTAGAGACAGTCATTCACTCTTCCGACTCTACGTAGGACCCGTCTTCATTAGTTACTTATTATTTTTATTTCGGTTCAGCTATTTCAGTTAGGATATTATTAGGGATCCACAGGATGGATTCCCGAGTTGTAGTTTAATTAATTACTAGTATCCGAAGATAGGAGGATTTTATTATTGGGTTTTTAATTATTATTTATTTGAGGATTTTAAAATAGGAATTTATTATTTAGTTTCCTTCAGCTTATTATTTATTTATTCTTTATTATTCTTTTGTATTCAAATGCTTGTTTAAATATTAATTGTTTGATATCCCTTGTGTTCTGTACTCGGACTTGATCACCCGTGGCTCTAGAATCGAGGGGTATCACAGATGTCCCACTGGGCATACCAAGAAATGTTCAGCTCGTGGAAACCGTGGTCCTTTCCAAGTGCGGAAAAGAAGGTGAATGTAGGGTGTGCCAGGAACTACTGTCATTCTAAAGTAGATATCCCAACAACTATCCAGTAGGAGATTGTAAGGATCAGGCGATTGTATGAAGGACTGGAATTACCACCTTCAAAGGTTCTTTTTGCCTTGAAAAAGGACTTCTGGATTAATCTATGGCTAATGGAAAGGAAAGCGGTATTGAAAGTGCAGAATTTCAAAGTAAGGTACTGGAAAGTAAGAAAGATAAGTGTGAAACTTGAATTAAACATATTGAAGGTGCATTACATGAATGTAAAGAGACATGAATGTAAAGATATTGAAATGTTATTTTTGTTGTGTGATTTGAACAGAATTTGCAAGTAAAGCATAAGTGCTCTATTTATAGAGCTTTCTATGCATGTAGCAGCTTAGTGCGGCAACTCCAGCGACTTCCACGTGTATTGATTTCAAGCTGCCAAGTACTCCACGTTCTTCTAGCAGTTGTAACTTCCTCTTCCCATCTTCTTCCTCCTCTGCCACAGACTTCTCCCTTCTTCAAACACGATTTAATTAGCCCTGTTAACCACTTTCTTTAACAACTGTTTCGGTTAGTGGTAGTTCCCTTATGAAGTTCCACTACTCTCAACCGACGTCTTCTTGTTTAGCTAGGTGTCCCACGATCCTTGTAATTGTTTCTTTTTTTTAAAAGTCCTTCTCTCCCTCTAATTTCATATCCCATGCACATATATGGGAAGTTATTCAAAACCCACGTTTCCCTCATTTGACTGAACTTTCCTACTTAAGTCTTCCATAAACATTGTGGCCTCCTGAATTTCAGCGTCTTCCTTACGTCGTGGGTTAGTCATCCTCAATTCCTGTAACTTCCCATCTCAAGACTCTCCTTCTAGGTTTAGAGTTCATGGCATCATGGGTTTCCTTTTGAATTTCAATACCTTCTTTTCCTCTGCACCCACGTTTTCGTTGATTCTAGCAACCTACCTCAACCAGAATTTCCTTTCTGATTTTTGAAATCCATGACGTCGTGTACTCATTTGTTTCAGCAACCCCCACGTTCTTTTCTCTTGCAGGCTTGTATCTTTACTTAGCAAAATTGGTAACTGAATATTTGCCAAAAATCCCTACAAAGTAGGAGACATTTGTGGCACCACGTTCTCCTCTTCTTGATTAGTCATCTTTTTGGTCTTGTCATAATTAAAGACCACATAAAAACTTTTAAAAGGAACTGATATATCGTGGTCAGGGCTATGGTAAGTTCAATGGAACTCACCACGTATGGTAAGATTCATTCACATAGGGAAATGTGGGCCTTTTTTAAAGATAGCAAAAAATGGAAACAAAATCCATACAGCAAACTATACTGGCCCACTTGTAATACCATATAGCTTCTAATAACAATTTATGAGGGTTGCGATCCAACGTGGTACGTTCCACTGGAACTCGCCACATACTTCCTTCCTATTGGTGAATAACTGAAAGATTAAACTTCAACAATTCCATAATGTGCTTCCTCTTTTGGACATTTTAAAGAATTGATCCAACGTAGCAAGCTCATTGGGACTTGCCACATGTCGCCTTTCCAATAGGCCAAAAATAGTGGAGTAAACAATACTGTGTGTGTGTGTGAGAGAGAGAGAGAGATGTATTAAAGTTTGGTATTGATTAGTGATGTTTATATACAAAGAGGTGGGAAAGGCGGGGGAAATGGCTCTTCCTCTCTGTTTTTATATTTTTACCCCAGAAACAACTGTATGTCTATTATGAAGGCCTTCTCCTTGTGAATTTGTGTGTGCATGATCTCATTGCGCTCTCAATCCAATTGTTCAAGATCAACAACACTCTTAGGAATCTGCGTCTTTGAGTATTGGAAATTCAAAATGTAATAAAACCATCTGAATGAGGTAATTGTTCTTGTAACAATGAATTAATAGAGAGCACACACTAAATATTTTTATTACGAAAATGATGAAAAATGTAATTACAATGCAACAAAGCTCCAAAGAAATAAAGTATCACCATACAGAACCTAAAATTAAGTAGGAGAACTATAATATAGAGACTCTGTCTGGACCTCCATTAACTTGCATGTCTCCACCTCTTCCAAGCTTTCTTTCCACAAACTGGCAAAAACCGCATAAAGAATGGTAGACATACGGCAATTACCATAAGTAGATTTGTGACGAGTTCGTTCTTCTGTCTGATGCTCTTAATATTAATTGAAACTCCATGAGTAAACATCAAGGAGTACATGGAAACCAGAAGCTCCCTATAAAAAGGAAATTCTACAGAGATATATTATGATGTTTACTGCCACAGAAAACCCCAATGTGTTGGAGAACCAAAACAAATAAGCTTTGGTAGTTGATTTTAGCATGTCAGTGGGAGGGTTCACACCTGCTTGAAAAGTGACCGTGGCAACCAGTGCAGCCACTACTAGCAGTGCATTGCGTGTTTCACCTGGTGAATCTCTTTGCCGCTGAAATTTGAAATATTCAAACAAATCTTCTGGAGTTTCTGGATCTTCTGATTGAGACTCATCCTGAGTTTGTCTGGCTTTTGAAACTTGCTGAAGAGATGGCGTCGACGGAATAAGACTAACATCTTGAGCCCCAATTGCTCCAGCACGTCGAAGGATTTTCCTGAGTTGGACATCCTTGGGACTTTCCGTTACTATATCCAGTAGATCCATTGCTGTCAAACCCTTTGAATTTGTGGCGTTCACTTCCACTATCCCTCTAATAGCATTCCTGTTACTAAGCAGTAGCTCTAAAATCTGCATAACAGAAATATGTGTGAAATAACTAATCTATTGGACCATGTGCTTATTAAAATGGTATGAAATGGACCAAATGGAAGACGACATAACAAGATGAGTGTAAGTTATTTAGATTCATTACGAATAGATTCTGATTAGTTACTACAAGGATTTGGTCTTAATTACTAGCACAATTTCCTCTCATGATTTATTAAGGAACTCTCAGCTGTTCTTTATCTTTCTGCACTAGTCTTTGGAAGCATCGTGTTATCATTAAGGCTGTGTTCGGTTGCATAGAATTGGAATAGGTGAAATTGAAGAAAAGCAACTTATTAAATTGAACCAAAATTTTCTCCAATTCCGTGCCTCCAAACACAACCTAACTTCTTTTATGACCTTTGACTTTCAAATTTAATGAACAATATACATATTGGTATACCAAGTCTTATTATAAATAAAGGGTGCATGAGATTTTTCTAAGGTAATGAATATATGCTCTGATTCTGCCAAGAGTGGAGAGCAAAGTCTGCTTCATAGCTGTCATATGAATAAAATTGGTTCAGGTTTGGAATTCCCATACAATTGATACCGTCACAAACATGATAATACTAACAAAAATATGTTTAAAAAAAATTAAATAAATAAAGAGTTAAATGTAAAAGAAGATGAAAACAGTGTCTCTAATAAAGTTAAACTCAGGTACCTGAAGTTGTTTTGTGGAGGCTGCAAGGTGCAAAACAGTGTTTCCATTGCAGTCAGCCCAATTTATGACTGTTTCCATGCCGGGACTTTTAAGCCATCTGAGCAAAGCACTAAAGGCTTCAATTTGGTGGTTTTCCACAGCTAGATGAAGCGCGGTTTCTCCAGAGACTGTTACATCTTTAACAGAGTTTGGGCAGGTGGAGAGCAACAGATCTATGACTCTAACTCTCCCCTTGATAGCAGCATAATGAAGTGCTGTCCTCTGGTCTTTGCCTTTGAGACGACAAATCGTATTATCAACTCTTAAAAGTTGTATCACTATTTCTACGTTCCCAGCCATCGAAGCAATGTCCAGAGGCATTAAACCTTCCTTGCTTGATTCTTTAGCTAGTTCAGGATTGCGTTTTATAAGCTCGCGTACAAAATCAAGCTGTCCAGCTTTAGTGGCAACATGTAGCAGAGACTCTAGTGGAGATGTTAGTGCAACATCAATAAGAATCAATGGCTTTTCTTGAAGCAATTTGTGCAGCAGTTCAACATTTCCTGTATAAGCAGCTTCAAACAATCTCTTAATATCCATTTTTGGATCTTAAACACCAAAAAAAACCTTTAGGGTGAGGTAGAACAAGTTGTTTAAGGAAGGTTGTGCGGGGAAAATAGACCACAGGTCTGATTTATAGAATCATCATGTCTCTGACATAGTGGGTGCATAAGGAATCACGTGTTTCTGGGTGCAAGTGCAATTGAAGTACCGCTTCAAGAACTAAAATGATTCGGGAGTGCTGGCGGTTAAGGAATTGGAATGGAGATTTCGGGAAAGGGGATTTCTTTCACATGGGTCTACCCGGATAAACTTCTTAAACGGGTCTAATTTATTTTTATAATTTTTAATATTATATTATTTCTTATCACACATGTCAAATTTTCAATCAACCACGTGGAGGACACAATCTGTCCTGGGTAGGACTTTATAACTGCAATAATGGGAAGATGATATAAACAATGTGTGCTTGGTGCAAAACTATTGCTATTTGCCGAGAAATCCCTTCGAGCTTTGGTGAGATCTCATCCCAATTAACTGAATTGTTTTGATTATTTGGTTTATACATTCAAATTTTGTTTGATATTTTTATTGAATGAAATATTAAGGAAGGTAAGGAAGAAAATTGAGCCAAAATAAAGAACATGAGAAGAGGGTGATTTTAGAAATAATAGTTAAAGGGAGAAGAATATACTTAAAAAGCTATAGATTGGAACAATGGTGACTGTCTTTTGTCTCTAATTATGCTTGCCCTTTTTTCTACTTTTTGATTTGAGTAGTTGTGACCTGATTTTAACATTAATAATCATTTTAATAATTTTAATTGAATAAATTTTCTTTTGACCTAAAAAAATATATATATGTGAAGTGCAATTTTAGAAAAGAGAAATATGAATATCGCCTCCCTAAATAATAAAATAATTTTAATAAATCTAGCCATTAGGTGGTGGTTGGGTTTGTCGATGGTTCACGCGGTTGAGCAAGTAAGGTCTGTGCGGGCTTGGGTTTACAAATTCACAGGCCGGGCTATGCATTAATAATTAATCCTTTAAAAAGGGCGGGTAAAAAGTTTCACCAAATATTTGGTTATTTATAAATTTCAAAAATAACTATTTGGATGCATGACAAAATCTTAGTTGGTAGAGGGGTAATAATGGAATGTACAAACATAGCTCTGTAGCATTGAAAATGAAAGAAACATGGCTTTTAGTCATTTGATGTCAACCATCATAGTAGGTCCACATATGATTTGTACTAGGTGAAAATTTTGTTAATGTAATCGGCACATTTATCCGTTCATTATTGTGCATGAAAATTTTCTCGTGAACTACGGTTTTTTGTATTTAATACTAGTTGTTAATGTACTCACTTACCAAAAAGTCATTTGTATTTGTTTTGTCACACATCTTGTAACAGATAAGGTATTGGGGACATGACGCATCATGCATCGTGTTATATTTATTGTTCGAATAAGTGCAGGGTGTGCTAGCACACCCAATTACTATCTCTATTCCTTGTGACATTAATATGGTGGGCTCCTCTCTTATCTCTATTTATTCACTAAGTACTTTGTATTGCCAACCCATGCAATACATGGAAGAGTTCTGGTAGATAAGTGCCATTAATAATTTCACAATTTTGGGGAACTCTTATGCAATGCAAAAATTGTAAAAGTGATTCTTATTCTCAGTCTCAGTCCTCGGATGAATGAGATGGGAGAGGAACTAGCGTGGTGAAAAAATTAGAAGAAAACTAGTGTCGATATTACCATTTCAAAAAACATCTTTTGTACCAAAACAATTACCTACACTAAGACCATAGCTTTGACTATGTATTTTGATGTCATGAATATGAAGTATGTTGCCTCATTTGAAACTGAGTGGAAATAAAGAGATAAAATCACTAATAATTAAGCACACGAAAAATAAATACATACATACCAATCATATACAATACATAACGGTATCTATGTGGTATATATAATTCCAAGTCTATGTAAACATTTACATAATTCTTATCATTGTTCAATATAATCGGCTATTTGTACTTGTCATTATACATTTTGATGAGAAAACAGGGATTAACATCATATTGTGGACATATATATACGGTGTAATTTTGATGAGGAAATTAGATGTTAATTAATTATTACAGGTCTTTATTAAATAGATGGACTTTCAACCTTGTTTTAAATTTTTAATGATAACTATTATCCCTCAGGATTCCATTTTAATAATCTTTATATCAGGGAATAGGAATTTTCTTTATTTAACAGTTAGCCATTTATCATGATTGGTAAATGGTTACATTATTTGAATGATAATATTTTATCATATATTTTCTATTTTGGGAAATCATAATTTGAGTAATCAAAATGATAACCCAGGTTGTCTGATCAAAAGAACTAGAACTTGCATTTAAGTTGAATTTCACGATTTTTGCAAAAACAAGTATAAAATCTATAATGTTCGTTTTGTTGAACATTGATACAACTACACTTGCCAAAAAAAGAAAAAGAAAGAAAGAAAATTGATATAGTTGAGATTAATTAGTAATTCCTTGAAAAAGATTCAAAAAAAATTATTTATCATTCGTGAATATTGTTTTTTATTACTTTAAATTTTGATTTGTTCTATAAAAACTTTTCTACACCTTTAATACTTTGTTATATTATATACGTGCCATCAATCTAAAGTCATATAAGATTATCAATAATTGAACAAAGTAATAAGTTGTGAGCGAAGCCAATTAAGGACACCGGTGTGGGGATGAGGGCGTGCCCCCTGATCTGGGCCAACCCAATATAATATATATGGTATTTTTTTTTTTTTTTTTTTACACTATATGAAAATAAATTATGGTGGTTAAATTTTCCTTTAACTTTTTTGGTTTAAATTTCTCTCATTTTTTTTTTCTTTTTCTTTTTCTACTTCCGGGTCATGCATATTTGAATAATTTTTTTCTTTTCTTCTTTTGTATTTTATACTACATATTTGTTAGGTTATGTTATATATATATATATATATATATATATATATATATATATATATATAAAATTTTTTTTGGCAGCATCATCATCTGGTGTAAATGGATTTTTTTTTTTTTTTTGAGAAATGGTTAATCTAACATGTTACTTACCAAAAACAAAAATAAAAATATGATAAAGAATAAGTTGTTTGTAATAAATCAACCATTTTTTAAGAAATATCATTCATAATATGATATGTGTTCAAAAAAAAAAAAAAAAAAGATAAAAAAAAAAGATGATTATAATAGACCCATTATTTTTTGTAAGGAATACCATCGATAATATAACTTGTATCAAAAAATATAAAATAAAGACTCTGCAACTTTAATGAAAGGCCTCATTTTACAAATTAAATCTAGCATCTCTAACACAGAATGCCTACAAATTAAATCTGTCATTAACATTTGATTGTTTATATAGATTTCAAAAATAAGTATTTGGATGCGTGACAAAATCAAGGTTGGTAGAGGGGCAATAATGAAATGTACAAACATGGCTATGTAGCATTGAAAATGAAATACTTTGTAGTATTCTTTCAGTCTTTAATAGCACTAGCTATTAAAGAAAAAACAAATAAATAATTTAATATATGCACTCATCTACCAAAAAAGCAAATTTGTATTTTTTTATTTTATTTGTATAATGTATGTTGTAACATTAATATGGTGGCCGCTCTCTTGTCTCTATTTATTCACCAAGTCCTTATCAATAAGGACCACCAAACGTATTCTTGCTATCAACCGTGTTCGGTTCGAATTGCAACTTTCTACAAATCATATTAAATTTAATTTTTATCAATTCTTTGGGATCAGATTGATTTAGGTTTGATACCCAAGCCAATGCAATCTAAATCCATGGTCACCCAAGATGAAATCAAATTTGTTAGTTACTTCGAATCTAAGACCAAATACAAGACCAGCGAAGTAAAGAGAGACAAATTCCCTGTAACACACTAAAAAGAATATAAGATTAAACACTGCAAGTAACTAATAGTAACTGAGTCCATCATATTACACTCTTTTTTTTTTTTTTTTACCTGCCAATGAAAATTTGTTAGATTTTATTTGTTAATAAAGGTAGATGGTGTTAGAAGCTTGAATGAAGAAGCTCAATGGTGATACATATTGTTTCGAATTCAATAAGGACCAACCACAACATGAACATATAAATCTTTTTTTTTTATAAATTGGCTACTCTTTATTTATTTATTTATTTCCTAAATAAAATTACATTAAACCAACAAAACAAGAATACAAAGCTACAAGAGAGGCCATACCCTCACATTACAATTGAAAAGGGCCATTTCCATAAACCAGAAAAATAAAAAAATAAAAAATAAAAAAAAAAAAAAAGCACCAACAAACAACACATAGCAAAAAACAATGTCACTTCCACCTCTTGAACAACTGAATCACAAATCTCATTATAAAAGGCACAGCAGCTGCAAGCAGAACATAGCGAAAATTCACTGATTCACCTGGTGCAATAGCGAAAACTGCAGAAGCATAAGTTGCATACATTGAGGCCATGGCCACCCATATTTCGAAATGAAAAGGGAATCCATGAGTCAAAGAAACAAGGACAAGGATGGACGCGGAAAGAGAAAATGTGTTAGATATCAAGAAAACGTAGAATGCTACTTTGTGAGATGCGTAAATTGCCCTTCCTGCCTTGTGTCCATTGCTGTCATCCTGCCAAACTCCACCAGGAGGGTTGACCCCGGCTTGGAAGGTCACCGCGGTGACCAGAGCTGCCACTATTAGCAGCACATTTCGGATGTCACTTGGAGTGTCCTTGTGTTCTTCGTACCCAAACCTGAACCAGTTCTTCCAACAAGCAGAATCTGAAGGCCTGCCCATTTTCCTGAAGCTAATAGTGGTACTGAAAACTTCATTTTCAGAGTCTGATATATAAGAGAAATTTTGGACTGTCTTCTAACTCACTTTCCAATACACTCATTGATATTTAATTAGGAAGGTACTTTCATTCATCTTTCTTCTATTGACTTCCTAGACAAGAGTTAATTTGCTTGATATTAATATAATTTCTGTTCTTGTTGTTGTAATAAAATATTTTGGTGTTTCAACAGTCGAGGAACAAGAATCATCGGGATGCCTTCATGAACATGTGCTTAGAGTAAAACAACGTTATGTTCATCTTGGAAAATGAGTTGATTCGGTTAGAAAAATATGATGTGAAATGGTTGGTGTTTACCCTTGGCGTCACTCATTGAAGACAAGCTTACCTCATTAATCAAATAAAAATTTGACTTTCATCCCTAAAATTTCTTGGAAGCAAGTGAAAGACTTTTAGAGTTTAATTGGCTTTCATGACAACTTACATCCATTGACCTAGCACTAATACAAGAGACAAACACGGTTATGGAGACCAGGACATTGCTCCTACGTATATGCTGCTAGTACACATATGCTTGGAAAATGTTAGGAGAACAAATTTCCGCTACATGAGCTACTCACTCTGTTCCAATTTAAATGTCGCTTTTGGGGAGTAGGAATTTTTAAGGGGACATGTGGGACGTGTCTTGTCTCCCTGAAAAATTACTAATTTACCCTTCTAAGTTTTGAATATTCAAATTTGAAATTTTAAACTCCAAAGACATATATGGAAAGATGTAAAATATATTATTTGAAAAAGAAAAGTGACAATTATTTTGAGACAGACCAAAAAGGAAAGCATGACATTTTTTTTTGGGGACTGAGGAAGTAAAATTTTCTCCGATTCACCTATTCTATTTTCAAGGCTCCAACTCCATGCATAGCTAAATAAGTTAATTTTTACAATATTTTCTTTAAATTAGTTTTAAATGAGTTTGCCTATAAATAAGGCAGGCTGTCTTGCAGTTTTGTTGAAATTAAGCATACCTATACGTTTAACATGACCATTTTTTAGTCTTTATGTTTGAAGCAGTTATTTTGAACATTAGGTTCTTTGTATTGTCTATATTTCGATGAGTGATGCTATCGAGAAAGCTCATTTGTTATTAACTCTTTATATTTAACCACTGAATTGAGATAATTTTTAAAAAATATAAAAACTTGAATAAATCATTTAATACAATTTTTAATTCAGTGATTCAATTTGGAGAGCTCGTGGCTCTTGTTAGGTATCTTCTGGTTATTGATATTGAGTATTGAGCTAAACATACCACAATTAAGTTGTTTTGTAGAGGCTGCAAGGTGCAAAACAGTGTTTCCATTGTAATCACCCCAATTTATGACTTTTTCCACGCTGAGACTTTGAAACCGCTTGAGCACAGCACTAAAAGCTTCAATTTGGTGGCTTTTCACAGCTAGATGAAGCACAGTTTCTCCACGGATTGTTACATCTTCAACAGTGTTTGGGCAGGTGGATAGCAATAGATCTATAACTCCAACTCATTAAAGGCAAGCTTAAAAGATGATTTAAAGTCCATCATATTATACTTTTTTTCTTTTAGCAGTCAATGAAAAGTTGTTGGATTTTATTTGATAACAAGGGAAAATGGTGTTAACGGATTTTAAAAATATTTTAAACTTGGAATTTGAACCGTATTTTCAAGATCAACAATACCCTTAGGAATCTACTTCTTGAGTACTGGAAATTCAAAATATAATATGTGATAATGCAAGGGCATTTTCGTCTTTTCACTTTACCGTCCGGGTTTGTGGTTGGGTCCAGTTACATTTCCTACATTTTAATTTATGTGGTGATGTAGCATTTGTATGGTGCAATTGTGTATTTGTGGTGTAATTAGAGACAAAAAAATAAAGAAAAAAGGAAAATAATTTCAAGTGGGGCCCACCACTAACTTATTTGGCCAAGAAATCTTCTTTTTCTTTTCTTTCTTTCTCTTTCCCGTATGCTCTCTCTCTCCCTCTCGGTTCCTTCTCTTTTTCTTTCATTTTGGAGACAAAAACTTTGAGATTTGATTACTCAATCATCTTTCATCGGATATAGGAACCGTTTGAGGTGAAACGAAGCTTGTAGCGAGCTCTACGCATCCATACTATTAATTTCCAGATTTGAGTCTACCTTGGAGCTCGAATTTGGAGGACCTATTCTAGGGATTTCGGCTTGGATTGTGAGGTAGGGACATCTTAAGCCATGGAATCTTGCTCTATAATGAATCATGCTCCTCTATGTGTGTTATAGCATGTTTGATTAAAATGATTTAATTAACAACATGCTAGTTATGTAAATGTGTATAACATGGTTGAATGAAAAGTATGTCTATGTAATGGTTGTTTACATTTTGTTTTGAGGTTACTAACATGCTATAATGATGCCATGAGAACATGCTTATTTATTATTGTGCTAAGTTCCCATTTGTCATTATATTGAGATCATGACATGAGCCTACATCTCATTGGGTTGCATGAAAAAGGGAAGTGGTTGTCTTGAAATGAAAATGGGGATTTGGGAATGAATGTTTTGAAAAAAAAAAATTTGGTTTTGACAAACCCGGTGGCTGCGGGGTTACCAACGGGCCGGAGGTTAATGTAGCCTAAGGAGGACTAGGGAGAGTACCCTAGCGTGGTTGAGCTATTCGGGCCCCTCGACGGCGCCACGGGGTCACCAAGGGCCTAGGGACGGTAGCCAATCCTCCTCTCGTCGCGGCGGGGTTACCAAAGGGGGTTACATTAACTTTGAACGTAATGGTTTTGAGAGTGAAAACGGGGAGTGACTTTAGCATGCATTGTATCTCACTCCATTTGCATTTGTGTGTGATTGAATTTGACTTGTACTTGTAATTATTTTTCCCTTCAATGCATGTCCCCAATCTTCCATTGGCCTATGCTTTATTTGGATTCACTAGGACACAAGAATTGTGTCTTAAGTGTCACCTGCTGAGCTATATGCTCACCCCTATATCTATATATATTTTTTTCAGGTCTTGGAAAGGAACTGGTGGATGACAACCCACCTTAAGCTTGAACGGCGTTAGAAGTCCACTTTTGTATCTTTGTATATTCCCCATTACTTTGTAAAACACTAGAAGTGCAAAGATGTATAATTATTTTGTGGAACTTTGTCATGTAATATAACTAAAGTATTGATGATGTTTTGGATGGGAATTTGATAATATGCAACTTGTTGATGAATGGATGGATAATCCTAGTTTGAAGCATTGTCTAGATTAGTTGGTTGTATCATTATCTTTTGTTGCCGTGAATTCGGAATTTGAGCCATGACAGGTTAAAAATGCAATTAAACAGGTTGTGATAGGCTTATTTTTAGGGAAGGTCATGCCGAATTTTTTTTTGTTTAAAAAGTATTAGTTTTGAGTCGTTACATAATAAAAGAATCTTGAATAAGGTAAATGTTCTTGTAACAATGCATTATTAGAGACCACACACCAAATACTTTTATTACAAAAATAGTGAAAAATGTAAATACAATAATACACAACTCCAAAGAAATAAATTATCAGCGCACACAACCTTACAAAAAGTAGAACTATGATAGCCTCTGTGTTTATGTGAGCCTAGAAATTAAATTTAAGGGACGTTGTTCGGACCTCCATTAGTCTTATTGACTGAATGTTGTCTCCACCACTTCCAAGCTTTGTTTCCCCACCTTGGCAGCCACCGTATAGAGAATGGTAGAATGAAGGCGATTCCAAGAAGTAGATATGTGATGACTTCCTTCTCCTCTGTGATGCTACTAATCGAAAATCCATAAGTAAACATCATGGAGTATATGGAAACCAGAAGCTCCCTTTGAAAAGGAAATCCTCCAGTGAGATAGATTATGATGCTTAGTGACGCGGTAAGCCCCAATGTGTTCGCGAACAAAAACAGAAATGCTGTAGCATGAGAGCCGAAAATTGCGGAGGCAGCAGCTAGGCCAGAGGTTGTTGCTGGTCCGATCAAAGTTCTATTACCGGAACTTGATTGGGTAGTTGATTCTAGTAAGCCAGTGGGAGGGTTCACCCCTGCTTGAAAAGTGACCGTGGCAATCAGTGCAGCCACTACTAGCAGTGCATTGCGCGTTTCGCCTGGTGAATCTCTTTGCAGCTGAAATTTGAAATATGCAAACCAATCTGTTGGAGGTTCTGATTTTGACTCTTGCTGAGTTTGTTTGGATTTTGAAACCTGCTGAAGAGATGGTGTTGAAGGAATATGACTAACATCTTGAGCCCCAAGTGCTCCACCACGTCGTAGGACTTCCCTAAGTTGGACATCATTGGGACTTTCCATTACTATATCCAGTAGATCCATCGCTGTCAAACCTTTTGAATTTGTGGCGTTCACTTTCACGATCCCTCTAATAGCATCGCTGTTACTAAGCAGTAGCTCTACAATCTGCATAACAGAAATATGTAATATAAGCAGTAGAACATACTAATCCATTGCTGTCAAACCTTTTGCGTGTGGATTGCATAACAAGATGAGCATAAAATGCACAGTATTAACTATCATCCTAATTTTTTTATTTAGATTCATAATAGTTTATAATTTGATGCTACTTTGATGTAGTTTGTAAAGGTACTATTGATCTTAATAGAACAATATCCTCTCATCAAATTTTTCCCAAATATCACATGATTTGGTGAGGAACTCTCAGCTGTTCTTTATCTGTTGTAGACTTCGGAAGTATCATCTTATCACATCAACTTCTATGGCCCTTGACTTCCAGTTTAATGAACTTCTAAATACTAGCTCAACATATTGTTATACAAGAAAGTCTTATACATAAAGGGTGCATGAAGTTTTTCTAAGATAATCGATTCATGCTTTTATTTTACCGGGAAGAGGAGAGCAAAATTTGCTTCATGGCTGTCATAAGAATATAATTGATTCAGGTTTGATTTCCATACCATAGTACTGTCACAAACATGAAAATACTAACAAAAATAAAAAATAATAAAAGATGAAAGGCAAATGTAAAAGAAGATCAAGACTGTGGTTCTAATGAAGCTAAACATACCTCAAGTTGTTTTGTAGAGGCTGCAACGTGCAAAACAGTGTTTCCATTGCAATCACTCCAATTTATGACCGTTTCCATGCTGAGACGTTGAAGCCACTTGAGCAAAGCACTAAAGGCTTCAATTTGGTGGCTTTTCACAGCTAGATGAAGCGCGGTTTCTCCACGGATTGTTACATCTTCAACAGAGTTTGGGCAGGTTGAGAGCAGTAGATCTATAACTCCAACTCTCCCCTTGATAGCAGCATAATGAAGCGCTGTCCTCTGGTCTTTGCCTTTGAGACGACAAATCTTATTATCAACCCTTAAAAGCTCTTTCACAATTTCTACGTTCCCAACCGTGGAAGCTATGTCCATAGGCATAAAACCATCCTTGCTCAATTCTCTAGCTAATTCCGGATTGTGTTTTATAAGCTCGCATACAAAACAAAGCTGTCCAGCTTTAGTTGCAACATGTAGCAGAGACTCTGGGGGAGATGTTAGTGCAACATCAACGAGAATCAACGGCTTTTCTTGAAGCAATTTGTGCAGCAATTCAACATTTCCTGTATATGCAGCTTCAAACAAGTTTTGAACATCCATTTTTGTATCTTAAACACCAACAAAAGACCTTTGGTTGAGGTAGAACAAGTTGCTTAATTAATGAAGATTATGTATGAAAATGAACCACAGGTCTGATTTATAGAAATCATCATGCCGCTTTCCTATACACTATTGCAAGGGGGTGTTTGGACATTCCATCAAAATATTGGATTTCATTGTGTGACAGTAGCAACATGATACATAATTAGGACACTAAAAAAGTAATGAGTCCATTCACACACATTTTTCTGTTGAAATACTGTGTAAAAGAAGAAAAAAAAAAAATGGAATGTCTATATTTTGAGGTATTGTCCAAACGCCTCCTAATCGTTGTCCAGCAATTAAAAAGCAAGTATGGTCATTCAAGCAATGATAAAATTTAATAAAATGCGTTTACTTGATGGTAATGTCGTCATGTTTGGATTCGAATAAGAGACTTTTTATCTAATACAAGGTTTTAATATTCAAAAGTAGTTATTTAACTTGGATTTTGTCAAAAGAACAGAATTTTTTTAAAAAAAAATGTATATAATAGCCAAATTTCTTGAGTGTTGAACACGTATTCTTAACCATATTGATTTGGCACCATTTTTCCTTTTGGGAGGTGGTGATTCATGCATTTGGGGAGGAAGACCAGTGACTACGAAACCCTCAACACTTCCATCCTTGAAATATCTTGGAAGCAAGTGAGAGACTTCCAGAGTTTAATATATAGATGAGACACAGTCAATTGTTATATACTGTGTGTGTGTGTGTGTGTGACCATGTATTAAAACTTGGTGTTGATTAGTGATGCTTATACACAAAGAGGTAGGAAAGGAGGGGGAAATGGCCCTTCCTCTCTGTTTTTTTTTTCTTTCTTACATTTTTACCCCAGAAACAGCAGTATGACTATTATGAAGGCCTTCTCATTGTGAATTTGTGTGCGCATGATCTCATTGCGCTCTCAATCCAATTGTTCAAGATCAACAACACTCTTAGGATCGAATCTGCGTCTTGAGTATTGGAAATTCAAAATGTAATAAAACAATCTGAATGAGGTAATTGTTCTTATAACAATGAATTAATAGAGAGCACACACTAAATATTTTTATTATGAAAATGATGAAAAATGTAATTAAAATACCACACAGCTCCAAAGAAATAAATTATCACCACCTAAAATTAAGTAGGAGAACTATAATATATAGCCTCTGTGTTTATATGAGCATAGAAATTAAATTTTTGGGAGGTTGTCTGGACCTCCATTAACTTGTCTCCACCTCTTCCAAGCTTTCTTTCCCCAAACAAGCAAAACCCGCATAATTTATTTATTTTATTATTATTATTTTTTTTTTTTATCCCCGCTTTTTTGCTTCCTTGCTCTACTCTCAACAGCAACCAAAAAAAGTTCCTCGAGAAAACTGTCATCCATTTTCCTATACTTCCCCAGTAGCCAAACAGAGAATTTGATTAAGTCAAAAGGGGAAAGATCTGTACAGGTTCATGAGATTCGATGTTTTTAACCTATTTGTCTCAAAACTTCTGATCTGAATTCAAGCAGGCCACCCTTTAAGAACCACGTCTGACCATAAGAATTAAACATTCCTTTACTGTTATTAATGCATACATTTTGGAAGTATTTAAACCATCCAATTTAAAACTTCTTCTGTTGAAAGTCGATTGATCTAATCATCAAACCAGAATTTTGGTACACTTGATTCCAATTAATCCAGTGAACTAATACCTTTTCACAATGCTTAAAAGGTTATATTTCATGCGATAATAGAGAAATGTACTGGGTGCAAGTGCAATTAAAGTACAGCTTCGAGAACTAAAATTATTCTGTCTATTTATTTTCTCAATGAAGATCGACAAGCGAGTCAATGATTACTATATATATATATTTACAGATCCTCCTAAGTAACAGAAATGTAACTAGGACGTCGTCTGACTAAAAGAACTACGTAAATTTCTCTAGAAAGGGCAGGAAAAACTACAACAGTACGAGTGGAACGAGAGATACCCGTCAACTATCACTACTTGAATCTGTGAGCATTGAATTTCAGGTTTCCAGAACTTGTCGTGTTTCTTCTAAATCGTAGCGGAACAGGTTTCTCCAACACAGACACTTTAACATTACTCCATTGGTCTGCTGTTGTCGGAAGCTGTGCGATTTTCTCTGCAATTTCAATGTCTTCTGGAAGAACAGAACCAAATACAGTATACGCTTTTTTCCACTCGTAATGGTTAGCTAGGCTGATAAAGAATTCCGGGCCAGAACCAACCCATGCAATTGATCCTCTCCTTATGGTGGGGCAGTCTTCTGCTGGGATTTTCTCGAATACGGTCCCATGGGATTCAAGTGTACCTTGAATCAATGCAAAAGGAGGGCCAAATGGAGCCTGGATAGTTCATGTATAAGTTAACAGCTTACAAAATACCAAAGTATATTCATAAAGCATACAACTAAAGAGGTTAACAGACACACACTCTTAACTGCAAAATCAATCCCTCTCATACCAAACCTCCACACCTTCACGGACATGTCAGGTTTTGAGCATGGCTAGCTTGAATCAATGCCTTAACAACCAATGTAATCCAGTTCAGATTCTCTCAAGATAATTTCTATTAAGCTGCCATACTACCCTCTAGACTCTGAACTAAACTTCAACAAAATAAAAAAGAAGAAAGAACAACTTCTTCGTCAAGGTAATACAAAAATCCAGTAAGCTGGTGCTCTGATTTCATCACAGCAAGTGGATCTTAATTTATATTTTTTCCCCCGAGAGGGTTCTGGTAAGCACTACACAAACCCCCATGACAATCAGAACCCTGAACCTCCTCTCACTGTTATGGTTGGGGATACCTTTCAAGCCAAGAGCTATTTTTAAAGTGAACTAGTTGTTAGACATCAATATGATGTAGTGGAAGTGAAAAATATATAAACAAAAGACTAACTAGCAAAAGTTCTAAAGCATCCTACTCCATATCATACACAAATGGCATGTTTAAAATAGAGATTTTACATTTTCTATGTGGTTTCCCTCTGAATCCCAAAAGCTCCCCCGGCTTTCAGCACGATAAAACTGGCAACCCGGACAATAAGGTGTTGCCAACAGCTCAAGAATATAGGAAACAGAAAAAGGAGCACAATCAGGGAAAAGCTGCAAAAAGGAAGCACAAATTTATTATACAGTTGGAAGGTTGTGATTTTTCAAATTAACTGGAAACAAAATGATTAAAGATTTCAGCAATTCTTACTTTTTTATCTTTCTTTGAAATCAAAGAAATGTTAACTAAGTTGACATGATAATTTTATACAGAAGTTGAGAAGTTTTTGGCGGGACCAAAAAAAACACTGCCTCTCAAAAGAAAAGAGGTTGCTCCTAACCAAAAGGACTCTCTCAAGCCTTTCTACATACTTCATATCCATTTTTACCATTCATGCGTCTGTGGGAAATAAGCTGGAGAAGCTACGATATGACTATAAAAGGGGAGTTAGGGATGGTGGCTTGGGGTTTAGAAGGTTAAGGGAATTATTTTAAGAGTTAAAGAGGAAAAACTTCAGGTAATAGGGTGGTTACTGGTTACACTCAGATATGCGGAGAAATGGGAAAGATAGAGGTCTTCGTATAGTGTTTGGAAGGGTATAAGAGCATTTCCAAACAATCAATGAGGCAGATTCTACCCATACTGATATGCTACAGCTTTAATAGCAAACTTTAAAACTTACTGTAGAAATGACAAAATAAGTGAACAAAATGTACTAGAACAGATGAATCAGGGTAAACAACTCGGTAACATATTAAAACAGTGTATGTTTAGTTTAGAAGCATATATAATTGAAGTTATGGTTTCTTTGTACTTGTGCGGAGAATGGCTGTTTAAGAAATCATTAGACAGTTAAATCTGCACCATAAACTTACTTTTACATGAAGAACTCCATAGTCTGTTTCCAAGCCAACAATACCCTGTGAGAAAAGAAGAAATATGAACAACTATACATCGTCAGTTTATTATATTCAGTAGTACTTGGATCAGAAAGGCAAATATAATGATGTTGATTACCAGATACGAAGTTCAGACACCAAGAAATTTCCATTTACCCTAATTTTTATAAGAATGAAGGGCTACATAATTTTTTTTTTTTTTTGATAGGTAATAAAGGGCTACATATTCCTATACTCATTATTGCAATAATACTATGGGTTTCAGATTTTGGACAGATGAGTTCTGTTTAACCTCATTTTACAGTATAATCTGATAAAATACTGATCAACATCGACATGTTCACTTATTAGGCACCTTGGAATCATCGCGAGAGATTGTAAACTTACCTGATTTTATTCAATAACCTAACACTTGTATTCATATACCAAAATGAGTAATACTATTTGATTTACTTCAAAGTCATTTTTAGCAAGAACAATTTCTTTGAAAGGCATAGCAACATTACGTTTTCACATTTCTTTCAAAAAATTTATACGAATTGAAAAACAACTTCTAAAAAACTAAAAGTTGCTTTACTTTCGAAAATAATCAAGCAAAAGCAGAACTTCAATGTTCTTACTGCTTGACCGTGCGTCAATAAGAATTATCATATAATGATTCTAAATTATGAAGTGTTATCCAGCAGATTACTGCAACAGGTGTTACAGGAAGATTATTACTGCAAATATGGAGCTGTCATGCCTGCCATCTATACTATTATAATAGAAAGAAATAACTTTGTCCAACTGCACTGGTTTTTTGCAGCATGTTAAAGGAATTACTGAATGAGGACCGCTGTGTTCTGATGGCAAGAAAGATGGAATAAACAGGGTCTACAAGAGCTTTGTGTACTCAAATATATGGAAAGACAATTACCAGCAAGTTTAGCATTGAAAAGTGAAGTCATGTGATGTTCAGCAGACTATATACCTCTTCTTTTCCGAAGAAAAGCCCAGAAGTCCAAATAACTTCTTTCCCTGAGTCTTTCCGATCAGGGGCCAAAGTATCCTTCTGTTTCTTCAACCAGCACTAAAAAAAAAAAAGAGGAAGAAAAGAATCTGAGAGTCGTGATGTGAATAACTGTCTAAAATATATAGTCACAAACATGTACAAATAAATATTGATTTATATAGAAGTATAGAACTATGTAAACATTCCCTGAAGAGATCAAACAACACCTGATATGAAATTTTGCTCTGAGACCACTCTATAACTTTATGAAGAAGCCATGTTTAAACAAGTCCATCATTTGTTGATAAGCCTTCCCCATATATGTCAACCTTTTCATTTGGCAAGCTGACAGACTCTAAGAGCCATTCAATCCATTGAACATTCTAAGCTAGAGGTTCCTTTCAACTCCCAAAAACTGCCTGCGTTTTAGTATTTTTCAAGTTTTACCCACACTTACATTGAAAAAGTGTGACCATCTTGATGCAGCAATTGCCAACAAATGCTACATGTTATTCAAAGTCCGGTATCAAGCAACCCATTTATGACATTCATGCCATTGACAAACAGATTCCACCAGTCCATTTTAGTATTAAGAATCTTTCTCGCTCCGAAAAGATCCGTGTTAAGCACCTATGTTTTTGTTCGCATGTGAATGGGACCAGACATATTTCGATCTAAGGCATGATGTGTGGTGCTTGTTAATAAATTTTTTTTTTTTTTTAATGACACTGGATCAGAGGTCAAAATAAAAAGTATGAATTAGTTAGGGTATGGAATTATATCATGGTAAAATTAGAATCCGGAATGTGATAAAGATTGACAGCAGGAGATACTCAAACACACTATGTTTATTATGAACCATACATAAAGGACATCAAGATAATTTTGACAAAGTGGGCCACTTATTTAAAAGGGATGGATGAAGTTGAGAGGCGCTACTAGAGTTTTGTTCAATTAATGCACCAAGTATCAAATTTGAATGTAAAAAAATATAAACAGCTCCAGCCATGAATTATGGCAGTTGAGACAGATTTTGATAAGAAACCGGAAAGAACCTGAACAAGTACCAATAGCTAAGATGATGACATCGACATAAATGAAGGTGAGATGAGAAAAGATAGAACTAAATGGAAATCCTGCATGAGAATTAAGAGTGTGAAGATACTGAGGACTAAAGACACAAGAAACAACTATAATATAGTCATGCCAAGTGCTATGAAGAGTGAAGACCAGTTTAAACACCTATAATGAAAGGAGAAAATTGCAATGGACTATCAAAAGAAGGGCAAACTGTGTTAAATAAAGAAAAACGTGAATAAAAAAACAAAAAAGTCCACTGCTCTACACCGAAACAACAAAGGCCAAATGATTAAAGAACATTCTAAAAGCACTATAAGGATTAGGGGAAGGCTCACCAAGAAAAAACTTGACAACCTACAATTTAAAAAAATAATAATAAATAATAAAAGAAGATGCATTAGAAATCCAGTAACTAATGCTAGATCCAGTAACTAATGCTAGATAAATAGAATAAGACTTTGCTAAATTGGATAGTGCATACAGCAAATGTAGCTAATTTTTCACACACTAGGGAACCAACAATTGAAAAGTAAGGCAACCAATACAGAATTTCAAGCTTCCAAACAACCCATCAAGTGTAGATGTGTGTGTGTGTGTATATATGTGAAACTAAAGTGAACCCAGTTCATCATTTCGAATTTTCAATCAACCAACTAAACCAAACTAATCAAACGAGAGAAGAGAAAAAAAAAACACACACACACACACACTTGAAGCCACAAAGAGAATATACCTCGCCATATTTCTGTCCACAACGTTCCTTATCCCCACAAAAGACCCAAGAATCACACGGACACGGCCCATCCTTACCATCACACATCTTTTTGCAAGCATCGCAACATTTTTTCGGAGAATTGAATCTGAAATCCGAACCACCTTTCACAGCATCACCCCAAAGTTCCAAATGTTCAATCCATCTACAGCATTCTCCATCTTCTCCGTCCAATCCACCATTTTCAATTGCTAACTCTTCTCTGCCCAATCCACCATTTTCAACCAAAGAACTGGCACTGGGTCGAAACATCAAAGAGAGCCATCCGTACACCATTAAACAAGAGACGAGAAACATCAAGAGAATCAGGAGAAACGCACAACGGCCGAGTTCTGCGTCGAATTTCCTACGACCCATTTGAGTTTGAGAACTGAATTGAAAAACCCAGAAATGTCTTCTCTTGATTCTCCTTTTAAACGGAGATTCAGTGAAGCTTTCATGGATGAGTTAAAGGTGATGACAAGGTGTTTGACGAAAATACTGAGACAACTCTCTTTGCATGATAACAAAACTAGGCGACATTTGTCCATTTTTGAGAAAAACTTTGCCAACTTTTACGTAAAGTTTGTTATGAAATATGTACTGTTAGATTTTGAGTGATGTTACTCACTCAAGCCAACAAAATAGGCTAATTACACGATGCAATTAGAAATGTATTTTTCTTTTTCTGATGTGACATAATCATATATTATCACATAAACAAAATGATTAATCACTTTATTTTTGTGTTGATAGGTTGGTTAAGTTTATGGCTTTCAGAAAATATTCAAATAGACACGGTAAAATTGCTATGATTGTTTGTATGCAAAACTGAATTATATATCATATTTGTTTGTAAGCACTTTGAATTTGATTAATCACTAAAATTGATTTGAATTTGATTAATCACTAAAATTGATTTTTTTCAAATCCACCTGAAGAATGATAGCACGAGAAGGCCTTAAAGCTTTCTAGAACATCCACATTTTAGTGAAGCAAATACCAAAAGCAAATACCAAAACCAGGATTGTTGTGTCATAAGCTCTTTGGAAGCTGTCATTGGCGTCAATAATAATAACTTTTTGGGCATTCGCTACTCAAATTATCACGTTTTGAGAATAAATTGCTTTAACTGGTCATTAGCCAAAACCCAATTTGATTTTCAGCATCAATTGTTGAACCGTGAATGAAATTCCAATTTATATTAATTCCAACAGCCTGAGATTGGGGCTGTAAAAAATAAAAAGAATGACTATTCAGGAATTGGAAGACTAGATTTTTTTTTTTTTTCTTTGAGATAATGAGATCTAATTGGACCACCTTCTGTTCACAAAATTGATAAAATTAATTCAAAATTGAGATGAATCGACTTCAACTTCTATAGTTTCACATTACAAGGAGCCAAGTAATTTGCAGTGGAATGCTTTCAAACAGCTTCGTAACATAAGTTTCCATGGCTACCTTGTTCCAAATTTTGTTTCAGTCTGAAAAAATATACTAAGGAATCAAAGTCCATTGCTCGAGAGAGTTGTTGCTGGGTTACTTCACAGCTTAGATTTGATTTGACAATGATTTCTTATGATTCTTACTCTCTCTACTTATCACAGGCACATACATAACTCGTTGACGTTACATGAATACATATCGAACTGATTTCCCAAAAAGAAAAGAAATACACAAACACATCATAAGGAAATTTCTACAGTTTATTTCAATAATTTTCTCTACTGGACTTTCTTAAGACTCAGCAGTAAAGAGTAAACTGCAACAAACAACTTTATCACACATAAACTTTAACAAAAAACTTTATCAGAGACATCAAAAAAGGAGTCATCAACCAATTTCCCTGACTTTTATTACAACATAAACATCTTCACAAGAATAGAGTACATTACATAGTGTTGCTTACAAAGCAAACATCACATAATCAAATGAACTAAACAATGATCTTGGGGATGTCGTCCATACAGAAATAACACTCTTTTGCTGGAATTTTGATGACCTCAATATATACACGCACACAAATACAAATGGAAGAATAACTAGAATTTGACAAATACCATTTAAGAATAAAGGGCCAAAAAAAAATACTAATAATAACAATGTCAAAATGTTTTCCTTGGAGTAACCATCACAACAAATAACAAGGTTATTTGATAGTGCCATAAGCACTTGTAGCATGTTATATTGATGATCATATATTGTTCCAACTCTTACAAGCCCTACTCCTATCCACCTTATTATAGAATACCACTTGCTTCCGACGAATACCTACTACATTATAGAGTTCTTCCATATACTACTATGCATATACACAAAGTAAGGAATTTTCTAGATATCATGCACACACCATTTAGTAAACCAATAAAACGCATGTGAAGTGTCTGTGAGGTATAATCTCTACAAAATTTATTTTCCATGCAAAACAAAGCTTACCTACAAAGTTGACCTCCAGCAAAGAAACAAGAATCTAAACAGCAAATTAGCTCAACTATTTGAATGTAAATCATAACAAAAACTAAAGACAGAAGGGAGAATCAAAGGCACAACTTTTAGTTAATGACCTCTATAGATCCCAATTCAAAAGGTAGAACTTCTATTCTAAAAGATGAAACATAGAACAATAAATCTAAACTAGTGATTTGGAGTTCTGCAGTGACACCAAATGTATAACTTGAAAATTACTTCCCAGGGTCAAAATCATCATTAAGTGCCACTAGCCCAAGATAATATGAAACATGCAAGCACAATCCTTTTTAAAGAGGGGAGATATTCAGGAAGGAAAAAAAGAGTTGGATTACACATGGCGGGTTTTGGGTAAGGTATATATATCCTGAAAACAACAATAAGGTCTAATATATTTGACAACAAAGCAGCAGCCGAGTCTCAAAAAGATATATAAGAAAATAAAAAATAAGGGATAACAATATATAGTCAAGATGTGATTCTCATACGCAACAGCAATTGAGCAAACATCACAAGATTTTGACCCTTTTCAAGATTCCTTGAAGGGGACACTTTCTTAATGAACCTTCACCTATGGTTATTATAATAGAAGAACACAAGTAGTTCACCTTTGAAGGATTGTCCCACTAAATTCCAGAGAAACAATAGAACACCTACCCTATCTCGTTGTATCGATGTCTTTGCTTCCCTTCCAATAATTATTTCTCAATCAAAAACCCATATGTAGTTCTTCGTATTTCCAATATTTAGAATGGAAGGCCTCTGCTCTATTTTCTACTACTATTCTGCTTCCCACTATCTAACTATGATTTCCAGACCAAACGTAGACCACCCAGACTAATGTCCCATTATCTAATTCCGTCCAACCTACCAAAACTATCCATGTCCAATGGGACAAAGTACATTTCCCCAACATCACCATCTGATGGTATCCATGAAATCTTACAACCATAAATATTATCAGATACCAAGCAGCCCATGCTAGAAGAAGACCCAACTCCAGTAAGTATCTCACATGCAGTGCATCAACTGAGCCCCTGTAACATAATTTTGCACCTTTTTTAAAATTGGTAACTATAATTTTGCACATTAAACTGAAGTTATTACATAATCCACTTATCCAAGGCAAAAGGTGGTGCTGTAAGTTGGCTACTTCGAGAAATAGGAGCCCCGCAAGAGGACCCAACAAGAAATCAGCCACGTAAAATGGTAAAAGTACAGGGCACATATAAAATAATATGAACAATTTATCAGTCCGATCAGGTACTAGTAGTTTGCCTTCAGGAATACGATAGGTTTAAGAAAACATAATCCACCTACTTTGACAAGGTAACACCATAAAAAAGGTCATCCAACAAAATTGGTTGAATAATGAATGATTTAGTATGCCAAGAGTAAAGTTCAACTTCAGCTCTTAAAACTAATGTTAGCCCAGCAAACAAACAAACAACTAATGGAAAAGAAACAAGGGTAAGCATCAAAGTACTCTCTTTTATCCAAACAAGTTGTAAAGCAAGTTGATCCAAACATGCTTGATAGAGAAGGCCATTAATAACGCTCCCCGTTATGAAGAAGTTGGGACGATTGGACTGGATGAAACCTCAACCTTTGGCACTAGTTGTACAAAGTAATGGTCCTCAGACTCAAACCTACATTCTCATGCTTGGCAGCCTAAGCTTTCATCCAAACATGCTTAATACTGAAAAAAAAAAAAAAAATCAGCAAATGTACCAGTGGCAAAAGATATATCAGCTAACAACCTCATTTTCCCATTTGATTCTAAACGTTCTTTGATTGGTTCAACACCAATGATGGTAGCACTGTATTATAAGACTAGTCAGAACTGACCAGAATGCCTTTAGTATTGTAATTAAACTTCCAATGAATTGTCCTTAAACCATATTGAAAGGCACCTTAAGCTCCTACTGATATGCGATGCCCATAGAAACAGATGATGCAGCATACCTCCTCTCAAGTCCATCAGGTGGAATCTTTTATAGAGAGAGTGAATAAAAGATGGTATTCACAAATACCGCATGCTAAGATCTTCTTTCAAACTCTAGATAACTCAAATTTCCTTACAGTAGCAAATACGAGTTTGACAAAATCCAAATTGTAAATCTAGGATGGCTTTAACCAATACATCCCTTCTACGATATTACTCAAAACTAATACCCTTTCCTTCAACATACAAAGAGAGGCTATTTACGCTTCGTAATTGCTTCCTTTCCGAATCTGTAGGCATCATCATGCATAAGCTTCAAATAATCCACATCCTAGTGCAGCCTCTTTGTCAACTCAAATCTGTGCCATAGACAAATCCACAAAGTAACCAAAATACTCCTTTTGCCACCAATCAGAGCTCTTAAGAATAATAAATGGATGCCATGCCTTCTGGCAACCAAGATCTTCAATTAAATGAACCAAAACACAAATATTTTAACTTCTCATGTGCCTTATGAAAAAAGAATGGCATAAAACAACAGTTTGGCATACCTCAATAGTATGATCCAGAACCACCACTTCCCATGTAACTGCTACCACCCAAACCACGACCAGAATATAGCGATGAATAAGAACTACCACCAACCTGCAATTCCAGTAGAAGAATAAATATGAATGATAAAGGAATTTGATAGTAAACATCAGAAGTTCCAAAAAAGGGTTGAGAAAAGATACATACATCACTCCCACGAGACACATAATCATCGCCATAACTTGATGAGTACATCCCACCAACATCACCACTACTGAAAGAGCCTGCAAGTAACAATGAAACAGACACAACTGCTTACCACACACTATAAAATCAAGGGTGAAATGTGTAAGCAAATCATGTCATCAGAAACTCAAAACGCACCTCCACCGTAACCCATACCCTGACGACTGCTATAAAGTCCATGTGAATCCTGACTGGAAATAGAACTCCTGCTGCCCCCATATCCAAGATTAGATCTCCCCAGTCTGCCAACATCACAGAGAAAGGTCAGTCACTGCAGCATAATAGATCCCAAAAAATAAGGTATGCCACTGCCACGACTTTAAGTTTGAAAGATGACAAAGACCTATCACTATAAGCATCGCCATATTGAGAAGCACTGCCACCAATCTCATAATCCAACCGAGCCCTCGACTGTCGCACTCCAGTGTCAGCATAACGTGGAGGAACGTCATCCTTTAAGCATTAACATAATCACAAATTACAGTTTTGTCAATAGAGGACGCAAAAGAATATAATGTCACCCCACAGTAAATGAATGATGCAGATATGCACTTACAAGTGCAGAATACGGACGTTTTGACCCAGAAATAGAGTCATAATCACGTGCACGTCCTTCACGATAACTTGGAGGAGGCCTTTCAAACCTTTGTCCATAGCCGTCATCCACATAAGTTCTCCTTGCTGCATTACGAGATGTGCTTCTGGGAATATCAGAGTAACCAGATCCACGAGAGGAATAGTCATCCCTATATGTTGGACGTCTCTCAGGGACAACCCTGGGACCATACTCTGCAGCAACTCTGCTCCTTGGAGGCAGCTCATCACGCCTGCCATAATCCCTTTTCAAGCTACTCTTGGGGTATGGAGGAACTGCAGACAAAGTTTTTAATAGTTATTCAGACATCAGCAAAACTGCAGCCAAATAGACATGAACATAGTGGAGACTTGATTCATACCAGCAGCTGGTCTCCTGTCATAAGATCTTGGTAGGGGAGCCAAGGGCCTTCCCCTAGGTGGCATAGCCATAGCAGGACGTCTGTCTCTAAATGCAACTGGTCTTCTCAACCCACGATCGCTTACAGGTGGTAGACGACCTCCAATCCCTCTTGCCCCACGCATGGGGAGGCTACGTGGCACTGGACGACTCCAGGGACTCCTGAGACCTCGTCCAACAGCATGTCCAGGTCGGAAATCTCCACGAACAACATGTTTTCCTTTACCTCTCTGAAGCGGTCTTGACAATCTGGCCCTAACTTTAGCCTGAAAAATAGCTAGCTATTAAACAAAGCCACCCACAACCAATAAAAATCCAAAGATATCTTGAGGTAAAAGGACAAACCCTGTTCGCTCCTTCGCCCAACTCTTCATTATTAATGCATTTTGCACATGTCACTGCTGCATCATGAGTGTCAAATGTAACAAAACCAAAATCCTTTCTCTTGGCAGATGGCATATTACGGGCAAGCTCAATCTTTTCGACCTTCCCATATTTTTTGAGAAGCTCCCTGACACGATCCTCATCCCACGAGGCAGGCAAACCATCCACAAACACTGTTTTAACCTGAACACAAAAATATGTTTATCAACATACTATCATAATAGTTTCTCATTACCACACCACAACATAAGAGCGTTAAGATAGGCAGCAGAGAGGCTAGCGAACAAAAATTCCCAATGTGGCTCAAACATGTAGTTTACCCAGTATCAAACCTAGTTGCATCTATGAATTTATTTCTACTTAAACCATGATGGAAAGACAAACATCCGAACAATCTACATTATAGTATACATCATGTGAACAGAAAAAGTCCTCCAAAAACCTACATATTCTATGAACACATGTAGCTCTCTTTTTTTCTTTCTATTCTTCCCTAACAAATTCGTTTGTGAACATTATACCTATGCCAGAAATCTAATAAATCGTTAAAATATATTTCTTCATAACATAATCTGCAAATTAAATTTCAAGTTCCATGCTTGAACCGTTCAAAAGATACCTAGCACTGTCAGCAGCAAGGTTGGAACTAAACAAATGAAACAAAAGGTAAACCAGCCAGACACCATGGACAATTAAATTGAATGCAGAGATATTTCAAGTATTTACCTGAGCCATGATTTCATCACCTGGGTCAATAAAGGAATCTGCAAAAGAAACCTTTGCAGTCCTATCAACTCCAAACATAACATCTCTCTTTTGGAGACGCTTAAAAGCATCCATGGCTTCCGAACGAGAAGAGAATTCCAAGAACGCAAAGCCTCGATTCATTCCATCATTATTACTGTCTTCAACCAATGTCAAATCCTCAATATTCTCAACTCCATAATGCTTCAACTTCTCTTTTAACTGGAAGCCAATTTAATGTCAGTCAGACAGGGATTAAGCAGCACCCTATAACCAAATATAAAAAGCTTGACGGTTAGGCAACATTAATTTGACCGACTTACAGCTTCCTTTGTCCATGACTTGCATATGTTACCCAAAAACAGGGTGTCGCTGTCTTGACTTGGAGTAACACCACACTGTTTCCCATTGACCTGGAATTGTGGTCATTAAGAAATGTATTTAAAATATAAATAAAATAAGTTTTCGTTTGAACAATGCCGAGATCAAGGAAATACCACTGGGTTTTTCATCTCAGCACAAGCTCGTTTCGCTTGTTCCACAGTTGCGAAACGGAGGAATGCAAAGCCCTTGTTCTTCTTAGTCTGAGGATTCATCATAAGTCTGACTTCATTAACCTCACCCACTTCACTGAAGACTTTCCTAAGATCATCCTCAGTAGCATCTTTGTCCAAGCCCCCAACAAAAACTTCAAACTCCTTTCGCTTGCGCCTTTCTTTAACAACTTTGTGGTGTTCTTCTTCCTCTGCATCAATCATCCCAGCATGCTCCTCACGGGCATGCTCATCATCATCCTCGCCCTCCATCTCCTCCGGAACATCTTCCATTTCGTCCTCAACCATATCACCAACTTCCTCTTCACCTACATCCCCCTCAGCTTCTTCCTCCACTTCATCTCCCTCTTCCTGAACATCCTCTGGTTCAATTTCCTTCTCGTCATAATCCACACCACCATATTCTTCAGGTTCATATTCAGGCTCATTATCCTCCAAGTCTAACCGTTCACCTTTTTCATATTCATCAACGGACTCCTTTACCTCATCTTCCTCTGCCAAGCAAAGGAAAAGAATATACAGACATCCACCCAGTCACTTTTCCAGTGCAATTGAATAAGATACATCTATAAGCAGTTCTAAGTCCTTTTAAGATCCAAATTAAATATAAGGCCTTTAGTTGAAAACAAATTCAAAACAATAAACATTTGCTATGTTTTTGTTACCACCACTCTTACCAACAATGATCCCTTCTGTGGAAGTATATTATACCATATGAAATCCTGTTCATTGATAATACTACTACCCGATGGATTGCTAAGGCAAAATTCAAATGTGTCTGCCACCATAACCAATCCAACTAGAGGCAATTATTTCAAGTAAATAGGAGCAAACTGCCATTCCATTGATTTAGGCTTTAGCTTTTTGGGTTCAACTGATTTTTCATTTTTTTTAAAGCCGCATATAGCAGAAGGTTTGAACAATATTAAAAAATTTAGTTGGAACACAGAGAAAACTAATAGGGATTTCTAAGATCATATGACTCGTTTAAAACCAAACAGCAACTGGTGCAAATTAAAGACAACGGATTCAAACATACACTATGTGATCATATATGTCATCATTGTTTAAAGGACTCATAAAATGATCTATTCGGAATTGTAAATCTAAACACCCTTATCCATTCTGTTTTCTACAACATTTTTTTATAACATTCCTAGATTCTACCATATCTTACCCAGAGATTTTTAAAAACTTCAATTTTTACAACCAATTCTACAATATTTAACCCAAAGACCCCTTGTCAAAAAACCCATTATTAAGCCAGTCTTTACAAAAATTTCAACTCACCCATCAAATAAAACAACACAAAAACCTATAAATACCCAAAATCCATCGATATCTCACTGTTTCAAGCCGAAATTCATGAGTATCCATTGCGTGTATTAGATCTTAGCTAAAACAAATAATTGTAAAAAAAAAAAAAAAATCAAAGGGGAAAAAAAAGAACTTACTCTTTTCAGAAGCCCCTCCATTCGCCTCCGAGTGCGGCTTGTTTTCAGGCTCTGCGACCACGGCCTTGTTATCCACTGGCTTTTCCTCAGCAACCTCCTCAACCTTGACCTCCTCCTTAATCTCAAGACTGTCAACCTTGACCTCCTCCTTAACCTCAACCTCAACCTCCTCAACTTTCACTGGTTCTTCGGCGACTTCTGGCTGGCTCTGGGTCTTCGGAATCCCTCTGGTGGCTCTCGCTCGCTTTGTCCCCGGCCCAGCAGCCGTCTTCCTCACCGTTCTCGGAGGCATTGTTTGAGTAAATTAAACAATCAAAAAGCCTCAAAAATATCACAAAACTGTAAAATCGTACCAAAAACAGAGGAAATCAACGAATCCAAACCCAAAACAAGCTCAATAAATACAGATAGATATAGAGAAAACCCTAGGCAAAGAAGAAAACCGGAGATATATAAAGCATTAGAAAGCGAATCTTAGAAAGAGTGAAAAGACCTAGAAATAGCATATTGGATCTAATGGAAACCCTAGTCCGGGTATATACGTGTGCGTGGGGTTGGGTTGCTGATTAAGGCAAGGGGTAGTTTTGGGTGTTGAGATAATTGGGTGGTTTTACTTTGGGTGGAATATATTAGTGTGAGATTTGCTCTCACACGTTGTAGAGAGAGACTGATTGGATAGTTGACGTGGCAGATGAATGGAAATTTTTTTTTTTTTTTTTTTTTTGAAGTCAAAGCAAACCCTTACCCACAATATATGCACATTCAGATAAAAAAGCTAAAAATTCTTTGATGTAATTTTTTTTAATTATTTCGATATATTTGATAAAATATTTAATTTTATGTCATTTCAAATGCGTTCAGAGTACATGAAGCTCAAATATCATAATCAAATTATTACTTAATTGTGAGAGGAAAAAATATTACTAAAATTTGTATCTCTCAAATTATATATTTTTATTCTTGAAAAAATAGGAGTAATTGAAGAGAAAATACTGTGAATCCAAAAATGGAGATACTTGTCAAGAGGTGAAAGTGGTTGAAAGAATATTTTTTTCCCTTTGAGCTATTCTCTGAAAATTTCATAGTAATTGTCTTATGGATATTGCATGAGATTGTGGATCCAAATATGCTCCAGTGCATCTCTCATTGGAGCAGGTCCATTGAAAATCCAAGGACAGAGATCAAATCACCTCAGTCTTTTTTGCCATATCAGCGTCTGACACATGACAACTCAGCACCCAGTCAACAACACAGTCAACAAAGTTACTGATGTACTCTTTTTTTATCACATGTACTAATACAGTAGCCAAATAAAAAGTACAATCTCCAACATACACTTATACATTATATATATATATATATATATATATATATATGTATACACAAAAATGTATATACAAATATTATACAGATCTTATATACAAAAATATATTATATACAAAAATATTTTATTCCATTCCTTTTCAGTAAAATTACAAATCTCAATACAACATACACTTATACTAAAATATATATACAAATCTTAAATACAAAAATATATCACAGTTTAGTATTCAAATATACATATAACAATATATTATATACAAAAATATTTTATTCTATTCATTTTCAGTAAAATTACAAATCTCCATGTAACATACAATAATACATTATATATATACAAAAATATATATATAAATTACAGTTCAGTATCTAAATATATGTATAACAATTTATTATATACAAAAATATTTTATTCCATTCATTTTCAGTAAAATTACAAATCTTAAACATTGATTATGTATCGGTACAATTCAGTATCAAAATATAAATTTATTTGAGATTTTAGGATTTTGAAATAATTGACTAATTATATAGATTTTAGAGTTGTAGAAGTTAATTTTTTTAACGTACTAGGAAAATATGTTGATTTTATATGCAATTCATACATGATACATGTTTTAAAAAGTTGTGATAATAATAATTTGATCTCTCCAACTTTTGTATTGTATGCTGTTACAAAAAGTAAGTGATGGAATATGCAAATCATCCTACATACATGTTGAAAATATTTGTGATTCTTATTATAAATTTAGGAATTGTAAAATTGAGTTGTAGAAGTTAATTTTTTTTAACGTGTTAGGAAAATATGTTGATGTTATATGCAATTTATACATGATACATGTTTTAAAAAGTTGTGTGCATAATAATTTGATGTGTAAGTTAATTTTTTTTAACGTGTTAGGAAAATATGTTGATCCTATATGCAATTCATACATGATACATGTTAAAAAAAAGTTGTGATAATAATAATTAGATCTCTCCAACTTTTATATTGTATGTTGTTACAAAAAGTTATTAATTTAGAAGTTGTGAAATTGAGTTGTGGAAGTTAATTTTTTTAACGTGGTAGGAAAATATGTTGATGCAATACTCAATTCATACATGATACATGTTTTAATAGGTTGTGTGTGACAGCCCAAGTTTTATAAACCCGGTGCGTCAGTGATGACCAAAAGATGACCCGATAAAGGATCCGAAATGCAGAAGCGAAAGATGATCAAAGCAAAGGAAAAAAAGGATTATGAGCACCCGTTCGGCACTCAGCACTGAGCACCCGTTCGGCACTCATACAAGGTCGATCATTCTGACCTACATGGTCAGGCGTTTTGACCTACGTGGTCAAACGTTCTGACCTACATGGTCAAGTGTTCTGACCTACATGGTTAGACGTTTTGACGTTCTCTACATGGTCAGGCGTTCGGACTTACATGATCAAACGTTCTGACATTCTGACCTACATGGTCAGACGTTCTGAAGTTCTGACCTACATGATTAGGCGTTCGGACTTACATGATCAAACGTTATGACGTTTTGACCTACATGGTCATGCGTTCTAACGTTCTGATGTTCTGACTGCCGAACGACGAAATAGAAAGCAACAATCAGCCGAACGACGAAACAGAAACAAATTTAAGGCTAACCTTAAGGCTATACATGTATTCCAAATGATACAAAATAAGTTTAAAAACATACTTGTGTGTACTTTAAAATTAATGGCCCTTGGCCTCATATTATACATACAAAATAGGCATTTTCAAGTGTTCTTAGATACACATTACACATCAAGAAAGTCATCTTAGCTTCTAAAATATCATACATCCATGGGATGCACAAATATAACATCAAAAGTAAGCATGCTAAACATTTGCATGTCAATACACAAAAAATATTCCCAAGTGCTCATAAGCCTCTAAGGATGATGAGAATCCGAGAACATTGTCTCTTTACCTGTAAAATAACCCAAACAACTAGGGTTAGTAATCAAGTTACTTGTAGGAAGAAACATATGCGTATACCCTAAAGTTTCAATATCATTGTAAGATCAATATAGATGAATACAAGGGATCATTTCACTTAACGTCTATGTTCAAAGTGTTCTAAGGGATCATCTTAAACTAACATAAATGATTCTTTAACAGCACAACATCAAATCGCCAATAACCAAAATTACAAGTCACAATTAAGCATTGGTTGTTAACTTGGAATTGAATGCGAAACCAAATAGTGAAAAACTTGGACATCAAATCCTGGAGTAAACCAAAACCTAAACGGTTATTCTGTGCATTAACCCGCTGGGAATACCACCTTAATGCGCACTATACAAAATAGGGAGAACTCATACCTTCCGCACTAGAGCCAAACTCTAGCCATATGAATTGTAACAATGTCCCAAGAGAATCCACAATCATGATTAAATTCAAAACTTATATACAACAATCAGGCGTTATGTCCTGTCAGGCTTTCGGACTTACATGGTCCAACATTCTAACATTCTGACCTACATGATCAGGTGTTTTGACGTTATGACGTTCTAACGTTCTGACCTCCGAACGACAAAATAGAGAACAAAAATCAGGGCATGTAAACCACCTTCCATGCACAAGTAATTTGAAACCACACAAACTATGTTTTAGGGTTCCAAGTCTAGAATGGCATAATAAATAACAAGTCCTCATCATGATATAATGTATAAAACAATACCACCAACTTATCAATTAAATCATGTTTCAACAATAAGCTTTATATACTAAAAATAATCAACAAGAATGTAGAATTATCATCACAATAAATATAGCAATTCAAGTCAATAAGAATTGTATATAACATTAATAATTCTACACAAAGTAAATACATATCATACATGCTTAAATCAATAAATCCTAAGTCACATGTGAGGATTTCCTATAAATGCAAGATTACAATATTAAAAGCATGTACACAATATCTATTAAACCCCAAAGGATCATAAAACACTCAAAGTATAAACATACTACCACCCCTACCTCAATATAGAATTGAATCTCTATAATCTAAGCAACCAAGCTTTAAAATGGAAAACAATTATAGGGTTTTGTAGAGGAGAGTGAGGGGAAACTTTTACTTCCCAAAGTTTAAGGTCTAAGGTGAGTGGAAGGAGGCCAAAATGATGGAATAAGCTTTATGCCAAGTTTTTCCTTCAATGGAGGCTAGGTTCGAATTGAGAGCAAAGGGAATGAAAATGAGATAAAATGAAATGTGGTGGGTGGAAGATCTAGTATTCCTCCACTTACTAGGTGTTCTTACACTAACTCTTTCACACACACAATGCAAGACTCAATTTGGTGCCTACACTTGTCACCAATCTATGACTCCTCCATAGGTTTAATCCTAAGCCTACACTTGTCAACCATCTAAGCCAACAAGTGCACCTATCATATGCCAACAAGTGGGTGAATCTCCACCGTACCCTCCACATACCACAAGATAATGTTTCTAAGTGACTCCACCTCAATGCCAACAAGTGGTTCCATGAGAGTGTGACACTGTCACACTTTTCAAAAATTGCAAAAAGGTCATTTTCTAAAATATCTTCCAAATCAAATTGCAAAAAAAGTCCCTAAGAAGAAAAATAATTATTTTGCATAATTACACTAAAACCCTAAAAAATCAAGAATGTTTTCAAGAAATTATGCATTCATGCCCTTTATAAAAAAAAGTAAGCAACTAGCATGATTCCCTACAAAAGTAAAAATACAAACACCTTGGAAATCAAATATTATGGATGCATGCAAAGCCAGAATCAAATCCGAACACGAAAAGTGAGGTTATGTAAGGAAAAACGATAAACAGGAAAAAGACGAAATAGGGAAAAGGACGAATAAAAAAAGAAATTACCAAAAAAAAGAAAGGAAGAAAAATGATCGGGTCATTACATTGTGAGCATAATAAATTGATCTGCATGTTATTACAAAAAGTAGGTGATTAACTCAGCCTTCAAATTTTTTGATTACCGATAATCACCATTGGATTGCCGCCATATAAGATAAACTTTGATATATCATTATGAATAAAGTTACGAGAAATTCAAAATAATAACTTAATACTTATAATGATCGGAGCTTCAGCTTCAGACTATCAGAAATGTTTTGGGGGATCCTTTTCGGAAATTTTAGCTTATCGCTGAAATATATGGTGATTTTTCTGACTAGATCTCCTTTTGTTTGCTATGCCTCTTCGACCTTCACCAAGTGAGTTTTTTACACATAAACATAAATAGCAGAGTTTTGGGTAGAGTTTCTTCACCGGATTTCAAATTTCAGAGAGAGATTTCCTATTTGAAATTTCAGACATAGTATATATAGCAGAGTTTTGGGGAAGGTCAACTTTCCTTTTGTGGAGAAATTAAAAATTGAAACTGAAATACGATTTTAGAAAGATGCAATACTACGGTGTATAAAGAAAATGTTTAAATTACGCCGGAATGGATGATCGGAGCTTCAACTTCTCACCGGAATGGATGATCGGAGCTTCAGCTTCTCGTCGAAAGGGACGATCGGAACTTCAGTTTCTCGCCGGAATGTATGGTGATTTTTCCGAACAGAGTTTCTGAACAGGGACCTTCTCTTCAAAAGTCTTTATCTTTATGTGTCTAATGTCTTGGTTGCTTTCTTTCTCGGTTTCCCTTTCCCTTGGAGTTCAGTTTGGATGTTTGAGAAAAGAGTTATCGTCTGAACTTTACAGAGCTATATTTCATAATATGTATATATATATATATATATCAGTATCAGTTTTGGGGGCAACCTTAATTTTGGTTTTGGGGGGAATTTGAAATTGAAAATCAAATACAGTATTATGTACAGAAAGGGTAGAAGTATGTACATAAATGGTATAAGGAAAACTACAGTGGCTACCCTTTTTAACCCCATTTGCCACATCAGCCGAGTGGCCCACCACTAGACACTTTCCAATGAGATGCGAATGGAGAGGATTTCTTTCCTAAGATTGTATGTCAATTATGAAAGGCTTTAACAAAACACCACCATTGTTGAAAATAAAATATAATAAAATAAAATCATAATTTTAAAACTAATAAAAGTATATAACAAAATTATAAAAAACTTATAACTCACAAGTTGAATCAAGTCGAGGATACAATATAATATATATATGTGTGTGTGTGTGTGTGATGTACTTCCGTTACATAGGAAAAATGATATTTTCTTCCAAGATACGGAATGGAGATGATGACTATAAGATATTCATCTAGATACTAAAGGCCCGTTTGGAAAGTATTGTGTTTTGTAGTGTTTTGTTTTAGTTTAGAACAAAAAAAGTGTTTTGTAATGTGGTATTCTGAAATGAGAACAAAACGTGTTTGGTGACGAAAATTTGAGTGTGAGAATTTTGGAACAAAAATATGGTAGAACATGTCTGGCAAGGTATTTCGTTTCAAGAAATATGAGAACAAAACATGTTTGGCAGAGTCAAACTGTAGCAAAAAATTAGTGACAATATAAATTGTGTATAACAATCATTGACAATATGGAAACATGTAATTCCATTTAAATTGATATCATTCCTATATAAAACATTTAAATTAATGATGAACATGATTCCATTAAAAATCATTCTATACCATTCCATTAAAAATCATTCTATTTGAGCTCTATAAAACTTGCATATCATCAATAATCTATTTCATACTATTAAAATTGAAAGCATTTACAATACTGATCGTGTGTATAATGAACCATCTACCAATTCAAATTCATTTCATACTTGAATATACAAATTGTCTATAATTAACAATCCAACCAATATTAAAATTGTACACAAAGTTGTCACATCTCTCTATACATAGATCTTGAATTAACTATTTATTACAAGTGGCAAACTGAAAAAAATTCAAAGTTGTCCGATCTCTTTTAAGTCCAGTTACTGAAGGAAACAAATGTCCACTCATTTCCAATATTTGTCAACAACATCATCGTTGGCGTTGGAAAACTTCAATATAGAAGCACAAGTGCAATCCACTCCAAACAAGTGCATTCCACTCCAAAGAGCAACAAATATATAGAATAACACACTTGCATTAGTGAACTTACAAAAGACAAAAAGAAAAGACCAAAAAAAGCAGTTGATGCTGAGAATGTATTGATGGATGCCTAAATTTCTTCTAATGTTTTTCCTTTGGCTTCAGGTACTACTTTGCAAGATAACTATAATGAAATGCACTTATTAATAACTATAATGAAATGCACTTATTAATTAAGCCACGAAAAATATTAGATCTATAGTCAAATGTCATAAAGAAGTACATAGAAATGAGGAATTTAAAGGTTATTCAAAAACCTCATACATTATCACCCATGGAACTGCTCTCATTCCATAGAAAATAATGCTATATAAATCTGGCCAAATACCTCATATATTAACTTTGTATATTGCTTGATTATATTTATGAAAGATAATGCACTTTCTCTGTGACTGATTACTGATATATGTGATTATTGATTAGTTATTTAAATCAATCAATTATTTAAAGCTCAATTTACAGCCTAAATTTATCAAAACATAATTAATATATTTTGTAGGAACATAATTAATATATTTTGCATGTTAATTTGGCAAATTCCACATAGTATCTAAGACCTTACCATGAAATAAAATTTACAACTCAAGATTTTTCAGATGCACACAGTATTCCACAGAGAATTATATATAGCAAGGCTTGTTATACATTCATCATTGTTCCCATACATTAATCAAAATTGTAAACATGCAAATCAGATACAAAATATTCGTGTTGCTCTCTCTCTCTAAACATTCCATTTGTGTTTCAAAAATTTTAACTATTGCATTTATACTATATATAGAAACAACATGGATGATAGATAACAAGCAGATTTTTGCAAAACTCTTTTTATTGAATTGATTTCAAATACCGATTTCAAACATGCATACATTAATTAAAAAATTTCTCAAAAAAATTAAAAACAAAATTATATTGATTATACTGCCTGTGCCCAAATCAAAATTCTCTCAAAAAAAATTAAAAACAAAATTATAAAATAACTCAACATACCCGAGATGAGAGAGATGAGGAAATAGAGTTAGAGAGGTTGGGGAGATTCTGGAAATTTTCTTGCCAAACCGTCGCCGGAGAAGAAGACTGGAGCTAGCTGGAAGTTGCAGACGGCTACCGACGTTTCTCGTTGGCGTAAATCGGCCGAAGAAAGAGAGAAGAGAATCCGAGAGTGGAGAGAGACGCGATGAAGAGAAAGCTCTTCAGATCTTCATACACAGTCGTCGATTTCAAGCTTAATCTTCACACACCGTTGAAATTTTAGAGAGAGAAGGAGTAAGTATGTTACACATGAAATACAAAGATCTAAAGGAGCTCACCATGAAATAGGGTCGTCAATTTGTAGAAGACGTCAGCCAAAGAACTCGCCGAAGTGACAGAAGGCCAATTTGAAGCCCGACCCTATGCACTGTGTAGGAAAACGTCGTCGATTTGCAGCACAGGAATCGCCTCCGAAATTGCCGTTTGGAGAGCACAAAACAAACCCTAACATATGTTGCATCTTTCCTTTTATACCTGTGCTGGGTTGGACCATTTTGTTCCTTTCGCTACAGTGACTTTTAAAAACTCGGAACAAATGAGAACACCAAAATGGTGTTCCAACTCTGGGCCCGAAATCCTAGAGTGTTTTGGTACTGTTGAAAACAAAACAAACTGGCCCAAACACGTTTTGTTCTCAAAATAGGCTACTTTAGTGGGCCTGGAACATTACAAAACATATGGGAACACTTCCCAAATAGGCCCTAAGCTATGTTGGGTAGGAAAGAAAAAAAAATTGGATGGAAGGAAGAGAAGAAGAGATAGATGTAGGGATGGCAATTTGCCCCGCCCTGCCCCGTTTTAATAGACAAATTACTTAAGTACCCTTATTTCATTAGTATATATATTTCCCAGTATATATATTAAGTACCCTATATAACAATATGAAAGTAACAAATGAATTTGATTAGAAGGAAAGTTGCAATGGTGAAGAATTCAAGATGAGGGGAAAAAAATAACAAATCTATTTCAATAATAAATGAATTATGGTCTTAAACGGGGCGGGGCGAGTACCCACGGGGTAAAAATGTTAAACGGTAGTCGGGATGGGTGAAAAGTCCCCCCGTTTTTATGGTTTTGGGCGGAGACGGAGGCGGGGTTTTTAAACAGTTGCGGGGGAGGCCCGTCTATGTTGCCATCCCTAGATGGATGAGAAAAAGGGATGGATGGGATAGATTATGTATTTACTTCTTTTTGTTCGGTTGGATAGAAAAGAAGAGAATAAGCTAATAATTAATTATTTTCATTAGGAGATAATGAAAGAGAAAGTTTTAATTATTTTTACCATTATATCCAATAATATTTATAATAATATAATTTATAAAGGATAATATTGTAATTTAAAACTTTTATAATATTCTACTTGTCTTTCTTCATTTCTTCCGCCCATTTTTGGGGGCTGAAAATTTGTAAAAGAGGAAAGATGGGTTATCCATCCTATTCTCCTTTCTTTCCTTATATCATCTATACGGAACAAAGGAAATTCGTTCCTTCCTTCCTATTTTCTCTCCACGCCTCTTCTTTCCTTCCTACCGAACACAATAAGAGCCGTTGGCCCAATGGTGTAAGAGCATCTCTAATGCTAAAAACTAAATTCGGATGCCAAATCTATATTTTGACATGTGCTACAGTGTCAAAATGCTACATTTTAGCAATTCAGCTCCAATGGTGCTGAGGATACAATAAGTGATATGGGCCGGTTATAGTCCGCGGACGTGGCATCGGGGCAAACAATTGAAATACAGCCCATACAAGATCACCACAGAATGGGCCGAGCTCGGAGGATGCACCGAAGAAGACCAAGCCCATTGGAAAGAAGGCCCAAAACTAATAGTCCAGCAGCACTTGTAATTGCCTATAAAAGGGCAGTGAAGAGAGTGAAAGAATGGGAGATTTTATTTTTAATTGAAAATGTAATGAGGTTCTGTCCAAATAGAAAGAGAAAATTCTTTGCATCTTCAGGTGCATTTCATGCAAAATGCTATTTTTTGACACAATCACCATTCTTTTTCAACTACCATTCCTACCATTCATATTTGCATCAGTAATATTAATATTAGGCACATTCCAAGTCAAATTGTAGACACTAGAAGGAAACTGAAATTAAACTTAATTAAAAAGAAACAAAAATTAAACCTAATGAATTTGCATGTCATGTTCAGACCCTTGTTTTGCTTCATTGTGGTTTCATCCATTACTAAAAATTCCTTACTACTGCTTACCCTGTTAACAGTCAGAAATAACAAGTAATATGTACAATGACATTACAGCATTCAAAGCTTTTGAACTGATTACAGCATTCATCATTCAAAAATTGAGCTGCCTTAAAACATTGAGTATCCTTCATGGTTGAGATGGGGGAAGAGGAACATAATAATCAAAGTTTGTTGAGCATGCTTGTAGTTTGGCAAGTGTGATACCCCCGGATTTCCGAATGCGGGTTGGCCAGGCCCACGCCCAAATACCCGAGGATATCAAAACAAATTGATAATAAACGAACACAGAGTACAAAAGAATAAATAAAATGCTGACAAGAAATTAAAATGATAATCTAATAATAAACCTCATAATATATTTCCATTAATTAACAAACTCTTCTGATACAACTGATCCTCCAAAATACAACTCGGGAATCCATACTGTGTGGACCCCTAGAAAATCCAAATTAAACAAATGACAGTAATCTAAAACAGGAAACTGAATCATAAAGGAACTCATATGTAGCATCGGAAGAATGAAGTAGACTGATCCCCGCTCAGCACGAACAACCTCTACTCGTGACGAGCACCTGAAAAATAATGGTGGGTCAGGCCCACAAACAAGTTCTACTCTACTACAATCCAAGCAGAGATCCGATACACGTATACATCCTAGTCAATCCAACAGTAACTAGTAGTCCGTATATATATATACATACACTAAAGGAACCTCACTAGACTATAGGGTTGTCTCACCCTGAATAGTAGGCAATATGCAAAACGCACATATAGTGGGCATGAGTACCTAGACCTACCAGGGTACACAACTACACTATATCTAGCTACACATTCCTGGCGATATACGCGCCTTAACCATTGATCCTGAGACTCAAGCTCATATCATGGCACCATACTTATATATATATAATCTAGTAACCATCCTATCCAGTATAAATTAATCCTCCATAAGTCATTCAACTTGTTCAGCTGACCTGACTTGAATATAAGTAGGACTTAACATTTTAGTTAATCAATTCCCTTATATAATAAATTAATCCTCCATAAGTCATTCAACTTATTCAGCTGACCTGACTTAAATATAAGTAGGACTTAACATTTTAGTTAATCTATTCCCTTATATAAAATAGGTAGGACTTAACTGATAAGTTAATCCATCCCTAGAATGCCATCGTCCCATACCGGTGCATTAAACCACACAATCCAACAATTGATGTAACAATTAAGGAAATACATCAAACATTCCATAAATAACTATGATAAAGTTATCACATAATAGGAATGACTTATTATTTCTTTAAACTTCCTATATCATATGTCCTACACAAACTGAATCTTATACATGATGATATTTTATTATACCGTTAAATAAGGATTCTCTATATCCAATTCATCCTACACATTTAATCTCATTGCTAAAATATTTTAAAAGATTAAATCCATTCGTTTGTTTAAAATATTCAAATAGCAAGCATCATTATGATTGAGTCTATTTAAATTTATTTAAACCCAAACTTAGTTCCTATTTAATATTCAGGAATCCTAGGCATGTTTCTACGTTCCATCATTCCACAGATATGAAAAATACATAATTTAAACATGTAAAAATTCACACCGGAAATCAAATCAAAATCATGTATTTATCAATTCATAACACAAGAACAGATTTGAACAAAATTCATAAAACCTATGTTCTAATCCAATTAAACATGCATAATTATTTAATTTTATCTGTTTAATAAATCCTGGAATTTCCTAGGCATGTACAGAAACACGAATCAAAGGGAAAGAGATAGAAAAAGAACTTGCCTTAAACTTTCGGATCGAAAGTTAAACTTCTTCTTCCTTGATCTTCTCTCTACAGGGTTTTTTCTCATCCTTCTTTCCTTTTCCTCCTTCCCTCTCTAACTATTTCTCTCTCTAGAATATATCACGTGAATATTTCTAACCCCCTTTTACAACATATAGCTATATATTTATAGGCTAAATAAAATAACCCTAACCCTTTTCCCAATCCAAGTCAACTTGAAAAAATAAATATTAAAATATTAAAAAGGTAAGTAAAATATGTTACGTATATAATTTATGTATATCTTTATTAAATAAATAAATTATACACATCCCATTATTTATTAATGGATTATCCAATAATACTTAAGTTACCATAATATTATAAAGTAACTTAAAATATCAAATCTATGTATATTTTTATTATTTAAATATAAAACATATACATCAGATTGAATATTACTACCCAAGTTACCATAAAAGTAATTAATAAATTACTTTCCCTTTTATATATATTAAAAAGGTAAGTAAAATATGTTACGTATATAATTTATGTATATGTTTATTAAATAAATAAATTATACACATTCCATTATTTATTAATGGATTATCCAATAATACTTAAGTTACCATAATATTATAAAGTAACTTAAAATATAACACGTATAAAATCTATGTATATTTTTATTATTTAAATATAAAATATATACATCAGATTAAATATTACTACTCAAGTTACCATAAAAGTAATTAATAAATTACGTTCCTTTTTATTTATGTGTATATAATATATATATATACACACAACTATTCATGGGTAATAATCCATACACATCCAACCTCCTATCCAAGTAGTCCATGGGACCCAATTGGTTAACCCATTACTACTAACCATAACCATAAAAGAAAAATAAAATAAAATAAAATAATAAAAGAAAGGAAAACATTTAATTTAGAATTAATCAAAACACTTAATTCAATTAAATATATAAACAATTAGTCAAATAATCAATTAAACAATTAAAAAAAATACAATATAAATAAATAAATAAATACCGAAACTATCCTTTTAAAATTAGGGGTATTACATTCTTCCCCCCTAACAAAAGGAATTCCGTCCTCGGAATTCGCCTTTACTTCCTTCCATTATGCTTGGAAACTGTGAGCGAAAAACATCCTCCTATTCCCAAGTAGACGCAACCTCACTATAAGGGCTCCACTTAACTCCAATATATCAAGTGGTAGACAGGGTTCTTATATTTTAAGAAACACAATAATCATACGATGCGTAGGTTGTATCAAATAACAACGTAATCCTCCCATGTCGACAAGGGAATGATCTACATACCTCCGAGTGCCATAGAATATACGCACAAACTCCTATACACCCAGCGCTAATAATTTGGTAACGTTAATCCAGAGGCGACTGCCTCAATTGTGAAACACAATCCTCTAAAAGTCAATATAATAAGTAAAATTGACCTTTTTCTAAAATTCGCCTTTCTTCCTACATAGAAGACATAACGAGCAAA